GGAACGTCATTGGCTTTGTTGTGTTGTTAGCGCTGTTGTGTTCGTTCCCTACCCTCTGCCAGGTAGGGAACGTCATTGGCTTTGTTGTGTTGTTGACGCTGTTGTGTTCGTTCCCTACCTTCTGCCAGGTAGAGAACGTCATCGGCTTTATTGTGTTGCGATGCTGTAGCTTTGTTTTGCCACAATTATATAGGACATTAAAAAGCATAAAAAATTAACTAAATCAAGCCCAACTACCGTAAAGCTGGCCAGTTGCGCTATATTACATATCGTCTAGACATGGTTTTAAGATAGACCGGTCATAAGATTAGCCACAATGCTCGGACAGCTAGTTATTTATTGATTCAAATATTTCTCCGTTTCTGATTGGCTTAAGACCCACGCATAATTCATCATAACCAGCTACTGTCGACCAAATTTGGACGAATTTTGCGATATGTGAAAAATGACATCAATTGTGCAGCATAATTGCCAGAAAAATGAACAGTTAACCGAGAATACCTGGGGACGAGGTTGCAGATTATTTGCAGTACCGAACAACCAACCCTTTTTCTCCTAAACTTGTCGATAAACAGGCAATTGAAGATGAACTTAACATCGATGGAGGTAAGCATGTTTTACCTTGTTTTTAAGCTCGCAATTATTTTCAATGAATGATAAAACAATTGTTGAATTCAGCTTTTGGTGATAACACCCTCCTCGATCTCAGTAATTCTTCAGATGATACTAAGCCTCATGAATAATTGTTAATTAAAAATTAGTGAAAGCCTGGGTCAAACTTCGAACGTCACATGTCCCGAACCTAGTGCTAATGAACAAAAGCTATTGTTTTCACTCATTAACATTAGGTTCGGCTGAAAAAAAGAAAACAAAACACTCAGAATAGTAAACTAAACAAGATTACTAGGTTTTCGTTACCCTTGTTATTTAATATTAAAAACTTCGTTTAGCTAAACATTCAACTACCTTTCTATTTATTGTGAAGGTATGGTCTCGATATGGATGACCCTGCACAACAGAACATCCCTTACCGCAGACGACAAAGTGAAGCCAGCAAAATATCATACCGCAGCGGCGATGTTTATTTCAAGGACAAAGAAGGTAAGCTGAGGTCCGGAACAGCGCATACTGCAAACAACTTAAAGCAAAGACCTCAAACGCCGGATTTTGTCGCTGAAGACGACCTTCAGCACAACAACAATACACGTTATAAAACTCCATTTGAGTTGGCGGTTGAGAGAAACACACGGAGTGACGCCTTTAAGTCCCCGTATGCCTTGGAAAGTAGAACACCATTTGAATTAGCGGTAGAGAGGAATGCACGGAATGGAAATGTCAATGGACAGAGTGAGGACTTAAATATGACGGAACTACCATATGCATCTATAAATAATTGAACATACAGTGAGTGATGAATGTACCTTTAGGTTTCAGTGTTAGCGCAAATAGTGTTGTAAACAAGTTTTTCATCGCGTGCATATTAATTCGGTCCGTCTGTAAGTCACTCCATAGCATTCTTAATTTCTGCACGAAACTATTGGAAGTCACAAACGTGAAGGAGGTTTGGAAATAGAAGAACTTAATTTGCACAAAATATTAGTAACTTTACCTTTAGATTTCGAAGTCAGCTAAAAATACCTAGCTGGGAAGCTGTGCCGGTATCATATGACACTCTTGTGTTTACTATATTACGTCATGTTAGCAAGTGCATAAGTAGCGACCTAATAGTCACTGCTGAGTGTGGTCTTGCTGCCGGGGAGGTAGCCCTATTCTCGAACCGAGGGCTTACTGATAGACCGCAAGAAACGGCTACATAGCTATCACTAAAGCAAATCGTGTGCAAAAGTAAAATTGTTTCGATAAATGTCAAATTCTTTTGTCACATTGCTTTTGGTTTGTTGACCTCTTATACAATCAGTCTAGTCTATCTTTATGTCTTAAAATAGATAACAAGTATTACAACAGTATATATTTCACTAGCCATATCATTAGCTCTTAAGCTCATTTATATTGATGTAGAACTTCTATATTTCCTTAGTTTTATTTATTTTGTACCTAGATTTTGTATATTCGGAATCTAATGTTTGTTACGTTGTAATTTTAATTTAGATAGAGGGCCACAAGTTTACTAGTTTTTGTAACTATTCCGTGCTACCCTCTTTAAATAAAGTGTATTATTATTCAATCAAAATATTTCCCCGATCTGATTGGCTAAAAGTATACGCATAATTCACCATAACCAGCTACTGATAACCAAATTGGGAAGAATTTTGCTTTGAATGAACCGATGACGTCAAAAGTGCAGCTTTCTTGCGGGTTAATGCACCGTTAACCGAGAAGACCTGGGAACGAGGTTGAGTTGTTTTGGCTGTGAAAACAAAAATGACGGACTCGTTTCACTCGTTTCAAGAGTAAGAACTAGGCGAAATAATAGCTAAAAACATGGCAACAACAGCAAGAACACAACTCGAAGAGCGACATCTGCTCAAAGGAGAATATTTGCAGAGCTGAACAACCTAAACGTGCACTATCGAAGATGAACTTAACATCGATGGAGGTAAGCATGTTGTAGCCATGTTTTTTAACTAGGAATAGAGTATTTCGAATGAATAATAAAACGATTATCGAATCCGACTTTCGTATCATATGAAGAATTATGGAGATCTCGGAGGGTGTTATCCGCCTCGGTCTACGGCCTCGACGGATAACACCTTCCTCGATCTCCATAATTCTTGAAAAGATACTCAGCCTCATTCATTAATTGCTTATTATTATTATTATTATTATTATTATTTTTATTATTACTATAACAGGTATATCTAAAAATAACAGTTCCTAAAGCATTAACAAAAAAACAAGGAGTGGATAAAAACGAGAACACATTTTTAAAAAATATGCATGCTATATAAAAAAAATAGGCAAATTGCTGAATCAGCAATGGCTTTGGACAAGTACCTTTGTATAACCGAGAATAACCCCTGCTTGCTGAAGTAATAGATGGTAATGCTTCATTAGTCTGCTCCATCTTTTTGGTCTCTCAAGACCAACAGATCAGAACGTTGCCTCGTCATTGATGGATTTCGCCTTCAACAGAAGTAAGTACCGTATTTACTACAATAAGTAATTCTTCCCAAACACTTTTTCTCGGCCTATTTGCCTAAAAAGAAAGGATAGAGAAATTTCTAATTTTTGACCAAAACCATGGTTCAACCCCTATAGAATTATGCAAATTTTGCGACTTTCTTTATTTGATGTTTTTATAGTCTAACAAGGCTAGTTTTCTCTCTAGATCGTCACCAAACACCTCTTCTTGGGCTATTTTGCTTGAAAGAAACGAATAAATTTCAAATTTTTGACAAAAACCATAACACCCTTGGAAAATGCAAATTTTGCGATTATCTGATTTTGATGTTCTTATAGTCTAGACAGGCTAGTTTTGTAACTAGAACTTCTCGGCTTTCTTTGCCTAAAAAGAAAACATGAAGAAATTTCAAATTTTTTACCAAAACCATGGATTTACCCGTTGGAAAAATCATTTTTTTCGACTTTCTTAAATCCATGTTTTCATAGTTTAGAGGGCTTGTTTTCTATCTAAAATGTCACCAAACACTTTTTCGCAGACTCTTTTGCTTAAAAAAAAGGATGAAGAAATTTCAAATTTTTGACCAAAACCATGGACTGACGCATTTAGTAAAATGCAAAGTTTGCGACGTCTAACAAGGTTAGTTTTCTATCTGAAACGTCACCAAACAATTTTTCCTGGGCTACCTTGTTTAAAAAGAAACGATGAATGAATTTCAAGTTTTTGACCAAAATCATGGGCTAATCCCTTTGGTAAAATGCAAATTTTGCGACTTTTTTACGTCGATGTTTTAATAGTCTAGGGAGGTTAGCTTTCTATCTAGTACGTCGCCATACACATTCTCTCTGCCTATTTGGCAAAAAAAAGGAAGAAATTGCAAATTTTTAACTAAAACCAACGACCAACTAACCCCTCTGGAAAAATGAAAATTTAGCCACTTTCTTACATCGATGTTTTAATAGTCTAGAAAGGCAAGTATTTTTATGTAGAGCATCACCAAACACTCTTTCTCCGCCTATTTTGCCTAAAAAGAAAAGATGAAGAAATTTCAAATTTTTGACCAGGACCATGGACTAACCCCATTGGAAAAATGCAAAGCTTGCGACCTTTTTATATTGATGTTTTCATAGTCTAGAAAGGCTATTATTCTATCTAGAGCATCAATAAACAGTTTTTTTAAAGGCTATTTTGCCTAAAAAGAAAAGTTGAAGAAATGTCCAATTTTTGACCACATTCGTTGACTAATCATTTTGGAAAAAATGCAAATTTTCCGACTTTTTTATATTAATGTTTTTATAGTCTAGAAAGGCTATTTTTCTATCTAGAAAATTACTAAACAGTTTTTCTCGGCCTATTTTGCCTAAAAAGAAAAGTTGAGCAAATGTCCAATTTTTGACCAAAACCATGGACTAACCCCTATGGAAAACTGCAAATTTTGCGACCTTTTTATATTCATGTTTTTATAGTCTAGAGGGGCTATTATTATATCTAGAAGATCATTTCGGCCTATTTTGCCTATAAAGTAAAGTTAAAGAAATGTCAAATTTTTGACCAAAATTTTCGACTAAGCCTTTTGGAAAAATGCAAATTTTGCGACGGTTTTATATTGATGTTTTTACAGTCTAGAAAGGCTATTATTCTACTGAGAACATTACCAAACAGTTCTTCTCGGCCTATTTGGCCTAAAAAGAAAAGTTGAGGAAATGGCCAAGTTTTGACCAAAACCATGGACTAACCCCTTTGAAAAAATGCAAATTTTGCGACCTTTTTAAATTGATGTTTTTATATTCTAGAAGGGCTATTATTATATCTAAAAGATCACTAAACCGTTTGTTTACGGCATATTTTGCCTAAAGAGAAAAGTTGAAGAAATGTCAAATTTTTGACCAAAAGCATGGACTAACCCCTTTGGAAAAAT